AAAAAAAAAAAATTTGACCAAATAGACACCTTCAATAACTGTTACCATAAAAAAACTGATCTTAATCCAGTATTTAATGTGCATGTAGCTCATAACTCTTTTGAGTAGCCAGTGACTTCCCAGAGAAAATTATACAAAATTGTAAACTTCTAAAATTTTTGTCTAACATACCACTTTAGAATAATTTACAAAGGGACATGCTATACATCCACAGTACTTATGTAAATGAGACTTTATCAGCTTACTTGTGATAAACCTAAAGCCCAAACAGGCATTCACTGTAACCTTAATTAAGGACAGTAACAGGGATTAAAAAGCTATGGCAATATTTGGTTAATTTATCATACACAAAAGTTGGCACGATAGATATCCTTTCTTTGACCAGCTGGGCAAAATACCCACCATGTGCAGTAGGTGGAGAGGGGAGTGGTAGGAGGAAGAGAGTTTCATGAAGGAAGAATAGAAACCAAGTACAAAGACATTTTAAAAAACAAAACAAAACAAAATAAAATTAGATTATTTTAAAACTGTTGCAGTAAAGATATAAACATTCTAAAGAGGACTGTCAGTGGCTACCACATTCTTTCCTGAAGTATATGGGGGAGAGAATCAGTTTTCACACCTTAAATTAAACTGTGACAGTGGTGGTTTCTACTACCCCTTCCTATAGAGATGATGCAACTGACAGAAAATATTAATGGCAAATTGTTCTCTTTTTACAAACACGTAGAAACTTCAGTGTGCTGGTGGAGACCTGGGAAAAAAGAAAGGGGATAAGAAAGAAAAGAAATAGAACATAAAAGGGCCAACTAAGCTTCAAGCTCTCACCAATCAAGAAATCTTTTAATCTGTTCAATTTACCCCTTACAATTATAAACTCCTCTAACTGCAAGTTTAATTAATTTAAAAATACACTGAAAAGCAAAAAATAACTCAATCTACAAAGAATGAAATACAAGACCAGTGGATAACCAGAACTTGTAATAATAATATCGTTTCAGGATCTTTAGACTTCCAATAAGAATAAGAGCTGTTATTTGCTAATGGCTTACTACTACATGCCTACTACACAGAAATGTATTGATGTCTTCAAAAAAAAA